CGAGCGACCCTGGACAATGGAGAGTGGCACCTCATTCCCCAGAAGTTCGGCACGCCAATGGTGGACTTATTTGCCACACCCAGAAATGCCCAGTTACCGCGCTTCTTCTCCCGGTTCTGGTCCCAAGAGGCGGAGGGCACGGATGCTCTCAGGAGCCACTGGCCGGTGGGCCTACTTTATTCATTCCCTCCCATTCCCTTCATTCCCGGGACAGTCAGGAAGATAGTCAGGGAATGGGCTCAGGTCATCCTACTCGCCCCCTACTGGCCCAGGAGACCGTGGTTTGTGGACCTAATCCAACGGTCGGTCTCCCCGCCCTGGAGGATACTTCGGGAGGAAATCGCCTTGTGTCAGGGGGTCCTGGTACACCTGGAGCCCCAGTGGCTCCACTTGATCTCTTGGCACTTGATCGGCGACTCCTGAGGAGTGTTAATCTGTCCGAGGGGGTCATTGCCACCATCGAAGCTTCTAGGCGGCCTTCCACCACCAGAATATACAACTCCACTTGGAAGGCGTTTGTGAGGTGGTGTTCTAGCCATGACCTTGATCCCTCCAGGGCCTGGTAGCTGTCACCTTGGCCAGGCGTATATCCGAGTTGGGTGCTCTCTCTTCTAGGGACAACCTCTGTCAGTTCCATCATGACAGAGTGGTCCTCTGCCTAGATCCCACATTCCTCCCAAAGGTGAATACCTCATTCCATAGGGCTCAGGAGGTGATTCTGCCTAATTTTTGCCCAGATCTGCCCCATGAGCGCAAATGGCTCTGGCAAAGGCTGGACGTGCGCCGGGCTCTCTGGATTTACTTAAGAAGGACTGCGACAATACGCAGATCTGAGGCTTTGTTTGTCTCTTTTCGACCGGGGTCCCTGGGATCTAGGGTTTCTTCATCCACCATAGGGAGGTGGCTGAGACAGGCCATCATGACTGCCTACGAAACATCGGGTCAGGCTTCCCCTGCAGGTATCACCACCCACTCTACGCGCAGTGCCGCCATGACTGTGGCCTGGGCCACCAGGGCCCCATTTGACAACATCTGCCAAGCGGCCACGTGGGCCTCTCCGACTCCGTTTATACAACACTACTGGCTGGACATTTATGCCTCGGCTGAGGCATCCTTCAGTAGAAGGATCCCTTAACAGGTGGCAGTCGCCCCTCCCCCAGGTCCTTCTTCTTCCCTCCCTGGGACTGTAGCTTAAGTATGTCCCTGCCATGACCCCTCCCGCTACATCACCAGAAAAAGAACGTTGGTCTTACCTGAACGTGTCTTTTAGGTGATGTGGAGGGAGGGGTCACGCTCCCACCCTAGCTAGTTGAGTTAAGGTCCAGGGGGGGGCTGGGAGGTCTCTCCTGGGGTCTCTGTGTGTTTTGTTCGCAGTGGCCGAGGTGGCACAGTGGTTAAATGTAGCACTGCAGGCTACTTCAGCTAACTGCAGTTCTGCAGTTCGGCTGTTCAAATCTCACCAGCTCAGGGTTGACTCAGTCTTCCATCCTTCCGAGGTGGGTAAAATGAGGCCTCGGATTGTTGTT